ATGATCGATCACTAAGTGTAGCGCAAACTGGCATCATTTCTATCAAGAGAAAACAGCTAGATAAGTAAACCACCATACAATCAGATAATACTTCTTTCATGAACCATGAGTGAAGATATGCAAGAACATGCCCTCATAGTCATAGAGCTAAGAGAATTATATGCAGTGGAAAATCGCAGGGTAACTAGAAGCAAGTCAACAACAAGAAACCATTTTCGACAAAGTAAATAGAGGTAACAGAAACCTTACCATCATCTTCCACACAAGATAACCTGTTGGACCGCCCTTTTGACCTTCAACATCATCCTCCGAACAAGAAATCCCCCGTTTCAAAACCTCGTTAACAAACGAAACAGGCATCCCCTTCATCCCCATTTCCCAATACAAAGATATCGCCTTTTCCATCATACTGAAACTCGGCTTCAACCCAACACAATCCATATCCACAAGAAGGTCCACCACATCACCCACAGTGTGGTTTCCCTTAATCAACTTCCTGACCCAGCCACACATTATGGATACCATAAGCTCCATTGTCTCCGAATCGACTCGATTCTCCTTTCTTAACCACTCAAACACCTCAAGTGCACACCACGAATCTCTCCCTTCCTGTGAGAAATACACCAGCACCAACTGCAACTCCCTATCCGATAGCCTCTCGTTCATTTCCTCCAGGATATCAGAGGGTTCTCTTGCCATTCTCTCTAGCTCCTCTATCGCCTCAAAGAACCCTTCACTCATTTCTTCCTCGTCATCACTCGTAATGAACCGGTCCAGTTCTACCGACCCGTGTAGCCGGAACTCCCTAATCGGGACTTTAGAATTCAGCTTTGAAACAGATAAATTAGGGCTCTTAGGGTTTTGGTTGCTGCAGATTATGCTAGACAATCTAGGGCGTGGATTCACACAAGGTGAAACAACAAAAAGTCGACATTTCTGCTTAACAGAATACAACGAGCAGAATTTAGCCGCATAAGCAAGAGAATTATTAGCAGTGGACGCCATACCTGAAGCTCCCTTCAAGAAAGATTAAAACAGAAAAAGAAAAAAAAAACAGAGCAACAGACAGAAGACCGAGCAAAGTGAATGATTTCTCCGTTTGGCTTCCGAGAAAACAGAGGGGTAAGAAAAGCGAGGAAAATGGGAAACCAGAGAAGCCAATTCCGAGTCTCAAGCAACGCTTGGCTTCAACATTTGGAGCCCGATAAACCGAACAAGTCAGACAAGACAACCGCACAATAGCCAGTAGCCATAACACGACCTCGAATTTTCTCAGCGGCCAAACAAAACAGGAGTTAGGTCGAGAGTAAAGAAGAGGTGGACTTGGCGAAAACGGAAGATATTTACAAGTTGCAGCGCAAAGTTTACAACTTGGATGGCAATCTATGAAAGGGTGACGGAAACTGGACGTTCCCCAGAGGGGAGAAGAAGAGAGTGGAGGATAAATTGGAAGGGGTTTTAGCAAGAATTTGGAAGGGATAGATTATTTTGAGGAGGGGAAATTGAGAAAGCGAAAGGCAGTGGAAGGAAAGGGATGGCAATGGAATTGGAATTTGGGTGGCTGAGAGAGGGGAATCGGTGAGAGCGGTCAGCAACGGCGATCCTTCGCCTGCCGCTGCAAGACAAACCGCAACACATATATTATATATCATGTTTGTTGTGGCTAAGATTTTTTTATCAGTGAACTTTACGTAAGGGTAGACCTTAATGTAATGTACCCAAAACTGGAGTCATCGAGTGTGGCTTCGAAGGAACCCATTAGCATAATTAGTAAAATAAGATATTAATAAGTTAGGTATAAAATACATACAAATAATTATGTTAATTTTCAAACTAATAGTATATTTAATAATCATAAATATATGAAATTGATATTTTAAAATAAAGAAATGTTCAAATAATATTTAAATTATAAATTTATTCATTAAATACTTATAATTAAGTGTGTTATATTATACGTGCTAGCACGGAACGACTCAAATGAACCAAAAAAAATAATTTAAGAATAAAAAATTGTAATTATATATACATAAAATATGTACGTAAATATCTATATATAATAAACGGAGTATTTACTAATTATACTCCTTAGTTTTTTCATAACTTGCACTCATTAGTCACTACTAGCAACTTGAACAATCACATCATTACTTGAATTGGTTTTATTCCATATAAATATATTTCTTTAGACAAACCTTGTTAACATTTTATGTTTCGTGAGGATAAAATATTCAAATATGTCACTGAACTATGGAGGATTTAGTTTTAATCAGGGTTGTCAAACCCGTTGAAATCTTTATGTTGGTGAAACAAGTGGCATGATCATATCAGGATATAATTAGTTTATGTTTGCTTTCAACATAGTATGTAGAGAAAGTGGGAAATCGTTAATATCAAACCGTTTACATCACACATATATATATAATCTATCTCAAGACAATATTCCTACAGTCTACATTCATATTTAAATAAAAATACAATATTACATATAAAATGAAAGTTTCACATTTTAAGACAATATATAAAGTATACATCGAAATGTTATGCTTGGAGATGATCTTAGACCAATTTCATGTTCCTTTTTTTTCTATTAAATAGTTTGAGAATGACAACATTTTAAGATAATAGGATTCGTGAGCATCATAGCTATATTGTTTCTTCACAATCCTATTTCATCTCCCAATAATTATAGTACGTGTTATAATCGAGCTGCTACGAATAGAGAAATCGCTGGAATCGACAAAGCAAGAATACGAAAGCGAGAATCGAAAACACGACACACGATTTACGTGGTTCACTAACACGATGTGTGTTAGCTACGTCCACGGGCGAGAAAGAGTCAGTTTCACTATATCGAGGAGATTACAGATTACAGAGAAGTATGAGAAGTATTTATAGAACTTCTCCATGTGAGTCTAAATCTAATTCAATCTGGCAAAGGAAACGGTTACAGATCAGGCCCAGAACCCGAACCCAAATAACATTGTGAGACCCCTAACTAATCCAATCGTAGCGGCTGATAGTCCGATTCAAATCACATCAACAGTACGTTCTCACAAGAAGCATGTGAGCACCATAAACGTATTATTCGCAATCCTACTATTACTATGATTGTTGAGAGACAACTCTTCGCCTAGACTAATCCGTAAGTGCAACTGTTGGGTTTGTTACTTTTTCGCATAACTTAGGGATGGGTAATTGTGGGTTGGATGAATTTTGGGCAAAATCCACCCATCTATTGTTATGGGAGTGATGAAAAAATAACTCTGCTCATCCAAATGTTCTCACAAGAAGCATGTGAGCACCATAAACGTATTATTTGCAATCCTACTATTACTATGATTGTTGAGAGACAACTCTTCGCCTAGACTGATCCGTAAGTGCAACTGTTGGGTTTGTTACTTTTTCGCATAACTTAGGGATGGGTAATTGTGGGTTGGATGAATTTTGGGCAAAATCCACCCATCTATTGTTATGGGAGTGATGAAAAAATAACTCTGCTCATCCAAATGTTCTCACAAGAAGCATGTGAGCACCATAAACGTATTATTCGCAATCCTACTATTACTATGATTGTTGAGAGACAACTCTTCGCCTAGACTAATCCGTAAGTGCAACTGTTGGGTTTGTTACTTTTTCGCATAACTTAGGGATGGGTAATTGTGGGTTGGATGAATTTTGGGCAAAATCCACCCATCTATTGTTATGGGAGTGATGAAAAAATAACTCTGCTCATCCAAATGTATCGTTGTGGATGGGTTTGGTGGGTGACAACGGATGGTGGGTTTGGCAATTTTGGTGGGTCAAATTATTTTTAAATAATTAGACAAATATGGGCCAAAAACATTTGCATAAAACTAATTGAATATCCATACTAAAAATCAAGAAAATTGATAGCTATTAAACGTAGTTTATTGCATAAGCTAATACCAATTATCTCATTTGTGAACACAAAATATTTTGTTGATAGTTATCATATTTTAAAATGATTGATTTTATGTTGTAAATTAAGTAAAATTTGTTAAAGATAATTTTAATTTCATTGAATCAATCACGATTGAAGTTTTGGTATAAGAAAAAATAGTTTTTATTATAAAATGTGCATTAACGACTTAATATATCATGTGATTTTGTAGGTAATGACTCGCCCGCTACCCACTCGTCATCCACCCAAATTTAGTGGGTGATAAAAACGATGACTCACACTCACCACTACATCCACCCAAACATATAATGAGTGGGTTATATTCAAGTGGATATAAATGGGTATAGCGGTTGACGCATCTATTGCCCATCTCTAAACGCACGTATCTTATGCGTTTTCGACACCGTGGTTATCAATCTCTGACCACATTTATCATCCCTCACTACAGCATATCATAATACAACATTTGAACCCATTACCTATGTCGTAATTTAACGATAGGAAGTGTACAATTGTGGGATAAATAAGTTCAAACTTCAAACTCAAAAGAAGATTAAACCCATCACTATCTCTTCACTCCCATGGTCTACGGCATTGGTGGTCACCGGACTTCTGTCGATCACGAGTTGGAAACAGCCGATTGTGAACCAGAACCAACTTGTCACATGCCTTACCTCTTTTCAACGTGGCCACTGTCTGTACTCTGTAGCTAGCTCGTTCTTCCCATTTCGAAAAACGCCGTCTCTGTCAGACATTTTCCCAGTACTAGAATCCAATAGTCTCCTCTGTCGCTCACCCTCGTTTAATAGTCTTCAATTGCCTGATTCCAGTTCGTCCCCTGTCCCAAGAATCCCAATTTCCCACAACTCCTATCCTATTAAACGCGTCCAAGGGATAAGAAATCTGAATCGAAGAGGGAAAAAAAGGCCACGGCCGGCCGGAGACCCTGAAACAGATGGTGATGAAGATACTGTCGTCGTTGGCCGCGGCAGCAGAGGCTGAAGTGCCGCGCGGGGAGGAGCAGGCCCCGCCCTTCTCTCACGACAAGCGCTACGGACTCCACGGGGAAATCCTGATGCTGGTGGTGGTCGGAATCTTTGCCATCCTCATCCTCCTGTTTTTCGTCGTAATCCCCTGCCTCAAGCGAGCCGCCGCCCGTAGCGCCGGCGATCACTCTTCCGGAGAACTGTTTTCCCAATCATCACCGCGGGGCCGGCAGCTGGCGGCGGCGGACAAAAGGGATGAATGATTGAGGGTCGGAGTAGATAGCTAGGAACAGAGGCGGAGTGTGGCTAGTGTAGTGTCGGCAGATATTTGATTATGGTCATACCCTGCATTTCGGTTGTTTTTTCTTGTGTGTGGAGAATTTTAGAAAGTCAGAGCACAACTTTGCAATTTGCTAGAATTTGTATACCATGGGCATGGATGATGCATGGATTGGATATATAGAAATTAGGAAGAGATGTTGTAATATGAAAGAAGAAAAAAAAGTAAATGTAACTTTTGCTCATTGAGTTTACTAAAACATGTCATATTTAGTCACTGAAAAAAGTTAACATTAATGTTGGTCACTTGACTCACTCCTATTGTCATTCTAGAAAATGGCCAAGTGCAACCACTTCCTAAAGCGTAGTATAGCGGGTTTGGGTTTTAATGTCAACCCGGGTCCTAGATTTGATGACTACTCGGTGAATTCTTATTATCTAGCAGTGAAACTTTAGTGCAAGTCCAAATTAACAAACAAACAAAGCAAGTTAAACGGTTGTTTTCAAGTCGAGGGAGGTCACCCGGATATGGTTCCCCCTAGACTGCGGTTAAGCCGGATTGCAATTTACCAAGTTCAGTTTTCATGAAAGTTATACTGCGGAAGGTTCTAAAACAGTCTGAAGTCTCGACTAAAGGTCTCCAGACCCTCTCAATCTGAGTCTCCAGCGGGCGACTAACCTCCACCGGAGTAAACAGATTGAGGCCCTAACGAACCAAACCTCCACTACCGAAGTAAATTCGGTACAGAATAATGAATTGGCTCCTCGATTAAAGTCGCCAATTCACTACCTTCAACTAAGGGTGCTCTATCAACCTAGGCAGATATTCTCTTTCTAGGTTAAAGCAGAAACAACAGGAATTTGATCAGGATTCAAGTCATTCAATCATTCAAACCTCAATCGAATATAATCAATTCATAAACTCTGTACTTGGGTTCATACAATCAGACCTAACATACAAATCTAGGGTTCCCCATACCCAGATGAATGGGGAAACTACTCCATGGAGAGAGAAGCAAAAGCAGATTCAGACGCGGAAATCATACTGTGAAGGATGAGTTTCTGCTCCTGGTTGTCAATCGGCACTTCTCCAAGCTCAAGCCGGGCTCCAATGGTGATGAAGATCAAGCTATGGCACTTGGGAACTCTGGTTCGTCGCTTTCTCTATCTAGGAATCGCTCTGTCTCTCTAAAACTCGGAACCCCTTGATTTTCAGCCTCTTTTCCCTTAAAACTGCTGCCTGTCGCGATACCCGGTCGAAATACCCGGTCGGGTATTTTGGGTGTCGACCGGGTATATTCAAAACGCGTGTTTCATGCCAGGGGAAAATCCCCGGTCTGCTCCAATAATCCCCGACCGGGGATTTAAGCCTTCTGCCAGGGCCCCCTTCTGTTTCTCACGGATGCCCAAAGACAGAAATCCCCGACCATGGCAAGAAAATAACAGGTCGGGTATTTCTGCTCATGGCCGTGTATTTTGGCTCTCCAGCACACTTCAAGCCTCACTTGCTCCTTTCGACCCGAATCTCGTTCCTTCGCCTTGATTCCAACGCCGGGTCCTGAAATATGACATAAACGCACAACCTAGCGTGAAATCGGCTTAAACACGAGATGCAACATCTCAAACAGCTTCAGAATAGGGGTGAAAACATGTGTAATTATCGGTCTATCAAACTCCCCCACACTAAACCGTTTGCTTGTCCCCAAGCAAACCTAGCTCAAACCAATGCAACTCTCCAGACCTCTATAGCAACAAACAACCTCGATCGTAGGTAGAGGACTTCCTAGATCATTCAGCAGCTTACGAGGTCAACCGACGCACAAGTCATCTCATAGCTTCCTCGGCGAGAACGCTAGTCTCGAGTCGGCATCATGGCAAATAGTGAACAGAGGACAAATGAATCGTGGATGAAAAGACTCTCAAAAACAAAAGATCATGAACTCACATTTTCCATGTGCTCTATTTCCTTCTTAAAGATGGTTGGAACCCCTTTTCTTTCTTTTCTTGCTTGTTTTTTTTCTGTTTCCTTTTTTCCTTCTTCTTTTCCAAGGGTTCCAACCTGTTTTTCAGAAAATGGGGGCTCCCACCTAGCAGAGGTTTTGCGGGAGCCCGGCTCTTACCGGCCATGCCAGGAGCGGATGTCTCGAGCCTCGTGCGGGGGAAAGACATGTAAGGGGGCTCGAGGTAGTAGGTGGAAATTGGGAACGGATTCCCGTCTCCCCTTACACACTTTCGCCATATTCGCACGGGAGACGTTAATTTAAAGCACATTTTCGAGCACCTGTTATTTCCAAAACATGATACAAGAGTCCATGACAGGTAGAGAGTCCACAACACCGCACAATTCAAGGGTCCTAAGATCACTAATTCACACAATCAACCAACACAATATGAAGAAGAAAGGAGACTTCTTAAATGCATCAACATCCTTCATAGTGCTACACTACCTCCCTAGGTTGCATATTACTATAGAGACTGTCAATTCAAAGCATACTGAGCAGGAAATTGCAAGGAACAGGTACTTGGAGCCCTCAAATTTAAAAATTTGGACAGTGGACTAGGCTCCAAGCACACAAACAGATCTAATGCAGTCAAAAGATAAACATCCCCCCACACTTAAGATCGGCATTGCCCTCAATGGGGAAGAGGGAAGAAAAGGGGAATGATGTTACCGGTGTGCACGGACTGCAGGAGACTGGAAATGGACCAGTTGGACGGAAGCGGACTGGAGAGAGGACCAGTCAGGCATAACACAGCTAAAGGAAACCAAAGAGCTCAAACACAATACGTTAGGTCCAATGGTCAGCCCAATAGTACAGCATCCAAAATGAAAAGAAAGAAACTAAACCGACACAAGACAGTTTGCCTGCTGACAAAAACAAAAACACTCAAAACATGCCACTCGGGCCCTCCGAGACCGGTGAAGTCGATCTGGTTCATAAGGTCGTCGTCGCCATCCTCCGGTGGTGGGTGTGGTGGTGAATGATCCCACCGGGTGGTCCAGTGGTGCTCCTCTGGGGAGTGACAAGCCTGGAGCAGGTGCTCCGAGTACTCCATCAATCGGCGGCCTCGATCTCTCTCCCGCTCGATGAGAGCACTAGTGACTCCCATATGGGTCTCTAAGCGGCCAAGGCGCTCGTCAACACCCGCCAGCCTGGACTGGTACTCGGCCTGGTGGGCCGAATACTGCTGATAGAACTGGACCTGATGGTCCATGAGCTGCTGGTTCTGAAGACCAAGCTGCTGAAACTGGAGCCCCATATGCTGGAACTGCTCTGTGAAGAAATCCATCGACGGGCCAGAGGCCATCGACGGACCAGAAGGACCAGAGGAGGACTCGCCTCTCTCTGATCTCCGTCGAGGCTGAAGGTCCCCTGGTGGAGAGAGCGGGGGCTCCGGCTCATCGGCATCCATGGCCCCGTCATCATCCTCATCCTCTTCCTCTCCGGAGTAGCCAGCGTCCTCCTCGTCCTCATCGAGGTCCACAACCTCCTCAGGGGGCATGGAAAGCCCATCCACCCAGGTGCGGATGTCATCAGTGGCCAGGAGGCGTGCACTGTGGAGCACTTCCCGGCGGAGGGGGGTGGAGCCGCCCCGTGCAGAAGAATCCTGAAGCCCCTAGAAGCTGATGTCGAAATGGCGCGCCAACCGGGTGATCAGGGGACCACAGTAGAGATGGGTGGGTTTCCGTGGTATCGGGAGAATGTGTTGGCCACGAAAGAACCCAAGTGGAGATGTGCTCCGGGTACCCCATCGAGTACATGGCATACAGCACCCGCTTCGGAATCTTATGCGAGCCAGTGACGTTGGGGACGATGGAGCGGGTGATCAGCAGGTTCAGGATGTGCCACTGCGGCTTGAGGGTGCTGACGTAGGTCTGGCCAGGATCGAAGTAGTCATACCCATGGGCGCGCCTGGCTATCCGGCGGTAGAACCCGTCCTGGTGCCATTCGGTCGGGTTGGGGATCTCGATCTCATGGCGATCGAACGGGTCGTACTCGATCCCCAAGGTGTAGGCCAACCCGTCAATGGTCAGCTCCCGGGGGTAGCCACCCAGCTTGAATGTCACTGCATAGGAGTCCCGAGCCTTCTTGCTGTCGTACTTGAACGTGGTGTAGAACTCCCACACCAGCTCCGTGTAGGTGGGCTCATCAATAGCCAGCAGCGTCCGCCAATCGCGGTGGCTAATGGCGGCTGTGAGCTCCTGTATGCAGTGGAGTTTCTCGAACACTGCCCACGCCAGATGGTGGTGGCGCTCCAATTTCCCCCGGATCACCTTGCGGAACTGATCCGCGTACTCCGGGTGCAGGCGTAGGCCCTGCACAAACGGATGGTCTAGAGACATGTTCCTGCAAAATCAACAAACCAAAGGTGGAGCCAAGAAAAACTTGTCAGGACCAACAGCATGGGTTCATCACTTCCCCCACACTTAAGGACCACCTAGGCTAACAGTGTTACGCACAGCCGGTTGAATCGCAATCGACTCAACCGGAATCAAGGAAAGAACCACAGAACCAATCACATTAATTACACGGGCAGCACATACACCGTAGATAGAACCATGCATACTCAAGGCATCCCTCACCCTACTCTAAATCAGGCATGCAAACACAGTTCTCGGTCCTACAATCTACAGTTCGATTTTCCAGGAAAAGAGTAATTAACAAGAAACACACCTGAAAACGCAAGTAGAACTGTAGCTAGGGCTCTAGAAATGGGTGAGGGACGCGAGAAGGGCCCAAAAATAACCCGGGGGGCTCGCCGGAAAATGGTCGGAAAGTCGCCGGAAAATGACCGGCGATGGAGCGGCGGCCGGCGGCGGCCGGCGATGCTCAAGAAGAGAGAGGGGAGAGGATTTGAGAGGAAGAGAGAGGAGAAATTTTGGAAAAATGAGGGTAGAGAGAGAAACTGACCGGGGGTTTGCTATAAATAGCAAATATACTCGGTCGGGGCTCAAAATACCCGGTTGGGTATTTTGAGTCCA